TTTTTGAAAAAAACATTTCTTCTTAGAGGGCGGAGGAATTTAATGAAAAAATTCCTAAAATACGTTTTAGACTGTAAATAAGTTTAATGAAGTTTAAAGCAAAATTGTATTGCATAACATTCAATTATTTGTATGCTATTTATAAAAATAAAATCAGAAATCCATTAAAAGATAAGTTCTCTATCATTTTTTCAATTCACAAATGATTTTGCCCTCACACTTGCATTGCCTACTAAGAAAGTTAGAAGCTGGTAGTCATCGGGTTAATCAATTAATGTGAATTGGATAGACTCTAAAGAAGCATATAAAAGCTAAGAAATTTGGTGTTATGTATGAGTTATAAGTATTAGTGTTGTTAAACCAAACATATTTTTCTTTTATGAAGAGTTAATAAATGATGAAAAACGTGTATTTTATGTTAAGAAACTTAAATAAATTTGATGTATTGTTTTGAATAGCAGTCTCAGGGTTAGTTTCTTTATTCTAACCATAAATCTCCTCCAGTTAGCAACATGTGAACTTCACTCGCCACTGCAATCCTCAAATAAATATATTTGGTGTAATTGACAGTATAGTTGAAACTCCAATAACTAGCCCTAAGGGCACTGTCCATTGCAATCCACAGATTGGCAAGGCTGGGTAGGATCCCTTCATGCATTATACATGATAGTCCATAAGTGGCAGTCCAGCATAGTACAGTAATACCACCTGGTCTGCCTCTAGGTGATCTTATGGAACACCTCAATTCTAATGAACCTAAATAAAGTATATTGTGTTAGTGGTTGCTAGTGTATGAAGCAATTGACGATTTTGTGCAATTGCCTTGTGGTAATTTCCAAGTTTAAGACATTTTTCTTGAGAGAGCAAAAACAAAATATAGGGAAATAATGTTAGAGTGTAATACATGTATATCTAATAAAATGGCATAAGAAACGATGCTGTTGTTGAGAAACAAGATTGATAAATAGAGGAAGTACAAGTAGCCTAAGACAGCTAGTTAGAGGATGAATAAAATATGTTAAGTCAAGAAAACTAGAGAGTAGTGGTATTGAGAATCATAAGTTACAACAAGTTATAAAAATGAAGCTATTGCCTAGAAACAAAGTAAATGCACTAGCACCAATGATTGACAGTGATTAATTACTGATGCCAACTTATTAGTACTGTGGAGGCTACAAAAAAGTTGATGTTAACATGCAAAAGTGGTACTTTGATGATATATTCCTTACACAATGCTGGTGTATGAGCACAAGTAAGAAGGCAATCAGCTAACTCACTAAAACAGTAACCAATCACTTGAGAGTTTTGGTTATAGTTTTGGAACAGTCCAATGTATTATAAGAATTAACCAATAAGGTGTGAGAACTACTTGTGGGTAGTGCTGTAAACTATTTGGGAATTCATAGGAACATGAAGGAAAAATTGTTTAAAAACTCATGTTTGAGGCAGAAAATCAGTCTCCTCACAGGTTCTTACTAAGTTCTCATGAATTCCACCAGTTGTTCTAAGATGATGTTGAAAGTATCCAATCTGCAAAGGTACACCTCGCCAACTATGTTGTAAGTAAAACTTTTCTGACTCTCAAGCTTCAATCAATGTAATTATAGTAAGAAAGATTTAAGAAAAACTTATAATGTGTATTAGTAGAAGGTTTACACAAGATAAAAAGATTTCTGCTAAATGAGTGAATCATTAATTTAGATAATTTATCTATATGCTTACGTTTACTATTATTGTTGATTATGTATTGTGAAATAAAAACAATTAAAGACTATTATATTAATAACTGAAAGACTCAAAACTCAGTTTCTTTATTCTAACTGTAAGTTACCTTGAGTTAACGACTTGTGAGCTCCACTCGCCACTAAAAACCTCACTAAATAAATTTGGTGTAAATGGTAGTATAATTGAAACTCCAATAATTAGCTCTAAGGATGCTGCCTGTTGCATGTAGCTTTGGTCTGATAAAAGCACACCTGACTGGGCAACACTTGCCACAGAGTGGGATCCTGTGAAAAATAGTAAGGAACCCTGGAAAGGAAAGAAGAGACAAGATTAGTAATAAAAATGTCCACCCCTGTTTATAATCTAGCGGATGTAGTCAATATAGCTACGGGAAGTGGGGGGGGGGGGTATTCAAAAACTCTCAGAAGAAGGTCGAGCAAATAATGGGAAATAAAAGTATTGGGGGAGGTCCACATACCATCCTGCACAATGTATTCCAGTGAGCAATTCAACCGGACCACTAACGGCATAGTCTCCTCACCAACAAAAAGAGCCCAGAATAAGCAATATTCAATTTTCATACCCACCCCATCAAAGTAACCAGGGATAAATCCCAGGAAACCGAAGGGTCACAATGATGGATGTGGGCAATATAGCTACG